AACCTAACCTTCCACCTTAACACAATAAAAAAGAAAAGCAAACAAACCCTTATGCAAGTAAAAGAAAGGAAATAAAGATTAGGGCAGAAATTAATGGCATCGAAAATAAAAACAACAGAGAAAATCAACAAAACCAAAAGTTTGTTCTTTGAAAAGATTGACAAAATTGCCAAACCTTTAGCTAGATTGAACAAGAAAATCAGAGAGAAGACTCAAATTGCTAAAAACAGGAATGAAAGAGAGGACAATAATACAAACCTTAGAAATAAGCAAGGTTATAGGGGAAAGTTATGAATAGTGCTATTCCGACAAATAACATAACTTAGATGAAATGGACAAACTCCTTTAAAAAAACAAAAACTAAGAAATAGAAAAGTGGAATAAAACTAAAACAAGGAAAAAGAGATTAAATTAGTAATTTTAACACTTCTCACAAATACAGACCCAGATCCAGATGGCTTCACCGGTGAATTCTAGCAAACATTTAAAGAATTAATACCCAGTCTTCACTAGGTACACCACCCAACTCACTCTATGAAGCCAGTATTACCCTAATACTGAAACCAGACAAAGACATCATTAAAAAACAAAAAAGGAGAAATGAATGAATGTAAGATGTAAAAATCTTTAATAAAATACTAGCAAACTGGATTCAACAACATATAAGAAGAATTATATATCCTGACCAAGTGAGAGATTCACTCCAAGAATATGAAGTTGGATTAATTTACTGAAAATCAACTAATGTAATACCCCATACCAATAGAATAAAGGACAAAAAGCACACAATAACCTCAATAGATGCAGAAAAGGCATTTGACAAAATCATGATAAAAACACTCAACAAATTCCATGGAAGGGAATCTGATAAAGGGCACCTATGAAAAATTCATATCCAACATCATATTTAGTGGTGTTGAGTACTGACCTATGAAAAGGTCAGAAATAAGAATGTCCACTCTCACAACTTCTCCTTAACATTGTACTGGAAGTTCCAGCCAGGGCAATTGAGAAGAAGATGAACTAAAAGGCATCCAGACTGGAAAGGAAAAAGTAAAGCTCTCCCTGTTTGCAGATGATATGATCTTGTATACGGAAATCCCTAAGGATTCCACTAAAAACTTATCGGAATTAATAAACAAGTTCATCAAGGTTGCAGGTACAATATCGATTTATAAAAAAATAAATTATATTTCCATATACTACTAATGAATAGTCCAAAAATAAAATTAAGAAAACATTTTACAATATCAAAACCATACTTATGAATAAGAGTAGTCAAAGAAGTGCAAAATTTATACTCTAAAAAACTTCAAAAATTGTTGAAAGAAATTAAAGAAAATCTAAATAAGTGGAAAGACATCCCATGTTCATGGATTAGAAGACTAAACATGGCTAAGCTGGTAATATTCCCCAAACTGATCCACAGACTCAACATAATCCCTATCAAAATCCCAGCTATCTTCTTCGTGAAAATTGACAAACTGATCTGAAAGTTCACATGGAGAGTCAAGAGACCCAGAATAGCCAAAACGATTTTGAAAAAGAACAACAAAGCTTGAGGGCTCTCTCGTCTCAATGTCAGAACTTGTGGAAAAGCTCCAGTACTCAAGACACCATGGGGCACCTGGCTGGCTTGGTCGGTACAGCATGGGACTCTTGACCTCAGGGTGTGGACTTCGAGCCCCACATCGGAGGCAGAGATCACTTAAAAATAATTTTTTAAAAAAAGACACCATGCTACTGGCATGAGGATAGACATATACATCAATGGGACTGAATTGAGGGACAGAATAAACCCTCACATTTACAGTCAAATGAGTTTTGACAAGCATGCCAACACCACACAATGGAGATAAAACAGACTTTTCAGCAAATGGTGTAGGAAAAACTGGATAGGCACATGTAAAAAAAGGAAGCTGGATACCTTCCTCAAACCCTACACTAAAAATCAATTCAAAATGGATCACCAGGGGTGCCTGGGTGGCTCAGTTGGTTAAGTGCCAGACTTCATTTCAGGTCATGATTTCATGGGTTTGAGCTCCATGTTGAGCTCTGTGCTGACAGTTCAGAGCCTGGAGCCACTTCCGATTCTGTGCCTCCTTCTCTCTCCCCCACACCCTCTCTCTCTCTCTCTCTCTCTCTTAAAAATAAATAAACATTAAAAATTTTTTTTTAATAAAAAAGAATTAAAAATGGATCATGATGGGGTGCCTGGGTGGTTCAGTCAGTTAAGTGTCCGACTTCGGCTCAGGTCATGATCTCACAGTTCGTGGGTTCGAGCTCCGCGTCAGGTTCTGTGCTGACAGCCAGCTCAGAGCCTGGAGCCTGCTTCAGATTCTGTGTCTCCCTCTCTCTCTGCCCCTCCCCTGCTTATGCTCTGTCTCTCTCTGCCTCAAAAATAAATTTAAAAAGCAAACAAAAAAATTTTTTAAAAAATGGATCATGAACCTAAATATACAAGATCAAACTGAAAAAATTCTTATAAGAAAAAGTAGGTATAAATTTTATGACCTTGGTTTGTTAGATATGGCACCCAGGGCACAAGCAACAAAAGAAAAAAACAAAAACAAAAAAAAAAAAAGAAAAAATGATGGACATCATCAAAATTAAAAGCCTTTGTGTCCAAAGGACACCATCAAGGAGATAAAAAGAATACACAGAATGGGAAAAAATAATTGCAAACCATATATGTGATAGAAGATCTGTACCTAGAATATATAAAGAACATCTACAACTCAACAACAAAAAGACAAACAAGCCAATTAAAAAATGGGCAAAGGATTTGAATGGACATTTCTCCAAAGAAGACCTACAAATGGCCCATAGCTGCGTGAAAAGATGTCCAGCATCATTAATCATTAAGGAGATGCAAATTAAAACCATAATGAGCCACCACTTCACACCCATTAGGAAGGCTATAATTAAAAAGACAGATAACAGCAAGCTTTCGGCAAGGATGCGAAGAAACTGGAAACCTCACACACTGCTCGTGGGGCTGTACAATGGTGTCTCTGGCATTTCCCCAAAAGATTAAACATAGAGTTACTATATGATCCAGAAGGTCCACTCCTAGGTGTATACCCAAGAGAAAACATTCACATAAAAACATGTACATGAATATCCATGACAGCATTATTCATAAGAGCCAAAAAGTGGAAACCACCATATGCCCATCAGTTGACGAATGGACAAAGAAACTGTAGTACTACATCCAGACCGTGGAGTATTATTTGGCAAGAAAAAGGAATGAAGTGCTGATAACATGTTATAACATGGAGGAATCTTGAAAACATGATGTAAGTTAAAGAAGCGAGACACGAAAGACCACATGTTGTATGATTCTGTTTAAATAAAAGGTCTAGACTAGACTAGGCAAATCTATAGAAACAGAAAGATTTGTTGTTGCCTAGGGTAGGGGAGAAACGTTTGAGGAGAGTGGGGACTGATTAATGGGCACACGGTTTCTTTCTGGGGTGATAAAAATGTTCAGGGGCACCTGGGTGGCTCAGTCAGTTAAAGGTCCAGTTCTTGGTTTCAGCTCAGATCATGATCTCACAGTTCATGAGTTCCAGGCCCCCATCAGGTTCTGAAGTCCTAGTGTAGAACCTGCTTGAGATTCTCTCTCTCCCTCTCTCTCTCTCTACCCCTCCCCTGCTAATGCTCTCTCTCCCTCCCTCTCTCTCAAAAATAAGTAAACTTTAAATTAAAAAAAAAATTTTTTTAATGTTTTATTTATTTCTGAGAGAGAGAAAGAGACAGCGTGAGCAGGGGAGGGGCAGAGAGAGATGGAGTCACAGAATCCAAAACAGGCTCCAGGCTCTGAGCTGGCTGTCAGCACAGAGCCCGATGCGGGGCTCGAATCCACGAACCGTGAGATCATGACCTGAGCCGACGCCGGACGTTTAACCGACTGAGCCACCCAGGCGCCCCCAAAATAAATAAACTTTGAAAAAAAGAAAAAAAAAGTTCTAAAATTGATTGTGGTAATGATTACACAACTCTGTGAATACACTAAAAACCATTAAATCAGACGTTTTAAATGGGTGAATTGTTTGGTCTGTGAATTATATCTCAATAAAGCTGTGATAGTAGAAAAAGCAAAACACTACAGCAGAGACCACTGTTCAATTGTCAGATTGGCAAAGACCCTGAAATTCTATAGCAACCCACATTGGTGAGAATGAGGAGGGACCAGAGGGTGCGGCGCGAGGGTGCGTGATCACAACCTTCAGGAAGGACACTCCAGCAATCTCCAGCAAAATTACAACCACACACGCCTTCTGACCCTGCAGTTTGGGATTAACCCTAGATGAGCCCTCATATATGAATAAGAAGTGTGTGATGCATATTCATCACAGAACTGTCTATAATTAGCAAAAGACTGGAAACAACCAAAATATTCTTCACTAATTAAACAAAGCCTGGTCTCCATCCACACAGTGAATACTAGAATATTCAACCAGGAGAAAGCGGTAGCACAAATGATCTTCAAGGTACACCGTCAAGAAAAACCAGGTGTAGAACATGCTACCCTTTGTGTTTGTTTGTCTGTTTGTTTGTTTTCTAACATACACGCTTATATATGTCTGCATCTCCCTGAAAGGACCCCCCAGAACCCCTTCCCAGTGCCTGCCTTGGGCAAGGAGACCTGGGTGCAAGAGAGGCTTTTCCCTGTCTTCCTTTGTACTGTTCGAATTATTTTTTACTGTGTGTGGATTAATGGTTTTCCCTTTTCTCTTTAAGAAAAAACACAGTCTTGGGGCGCCTGGGTGGCTTAGTCGGTTAAGCGTCCGACTTTCGCTTAGGTCACGATCTCGCGGTTCGTGGGTTCGAGCCCCGCGTCGGGCTCTGTGCTGACTGCCAGCTCAGAGCCTGGAGCCTGTTTTAGAGTCTGTGTCTCCCTCTCTCTCTGACCCTCCCCTGCTCACGCTGTCTCTCTCTCTCTCTCTCCTAGAAATAAATAAAAAATATTAAAAAAAAAAAACCCACAGTCTTACCTGGTTTCAAATCCTGTCATGCGCTCTCTCATAGCTGGGAAAGTCACTTCACTTCTCAGAGCTTCTGTGCTCTGCAAAGGGAGAGATGATAATGAGATCTACCTTCAAGGTTGTTGTGGAGGATTCACTAAGGCCACCCATGCACAAGGCTCCCCACCGTGCCTGGTGCCTAGTCAGTGCATGGTCCTTTCGTTCATCAGTATATTACTATGTACATGAGGTGGATTGTCAACAGGTCTCCATCCACATCTCTGAGCGGAGAGCCTCAGACCAAGTGTGCAGCGAGCACTAGCGACCCCCTCTGACTGGGAGAAGCTGGGAGAGGCAGCATCTGCGAAGGGGCTTCAAGGATGAGTTCCATAAGCAGAGATGCCTAGGGACAGGGCTCCCACAACAATCGTTGTGCGTTGGTTGGCTTCTTCTTCACCAGAGCTTAGCTGAGCACCTGCTATGTGCCAGGCACTGAAGTATGAAAGACAGACTAAAGCCAAGTAGCTAGACCAAAGGAGGAATTATAGAGTACAGTGATGGAGACAAGAAGGGGCTCAGGCAGAGCCTCGCCCGCATCCAACTGCTCGCGAGATCGGACCAGGAAAAGGAGGCTCAGAGAGGGACAGGGGCTGCCCAAGGTCACACAGCACATTCTCAACTTCTGAAAAGAGTCTCTCTCGGCTCTGCCTTCTCACTCGTCCCACAGGCCTGAAGAAGAAAAAGGCTACGGGGCCCTCCAGATGTGCACTCAGCAGAAGGTAGACACATGCCATCCATCCAAACTGGGGGCCCCACAAAAAAGGAGGGACAATTGATTCTCCGACGCTAACAACAGCTGGTTGACCCCTGTATGTCAGGCACCATGCTAAGAAGTACACTACATGCATGAGTCCAGATGAACCGACTGCAGCCCTATGTGGTCAGCCCTGGTTTGCAGATGAGAAAACTGAGGCCCAGAGAGGTCAAGGGGCTTGCCTAAGGTCACAGAGCTCATAAGAGACAGCATCAGCAAGCAGACCTGAACTGTCAAGGCTCTGCAGCCTCATAGGGCCTAGATCAGCAGTCACAGCCCCTCTCAGAAGGGCAAGGTGGGAGCTCTTCTCAGCCAGTCCAGGAATGTCTCCTGATAACAGAGGCCCAATCAGGGGCAGGAAGAATGGGTGGTGGAGGCTGTGTCAGGAATGTGTTGGGGGGAGGGGGTAGGAGGGAGGATGTGGTCAGGAGGGAAACAGCCCACCTTTGGCAGCCATGGTCCTGCCTCTGGAAGGAGGGGACCAGAAAAGTCCCAAGCAGACACCTGCCTAACCCAGGTGGGGTACAGCATCGTGGTTGGGGGGCCCTGCGGCAGCCCATGGGAGGACTCTGGGTAAACTGACCAAAGACCCCCTCAGTACCATGGAGATGCCCATGTCACCCCCCAGGAGGTCGCAAAGGCAAGTGAGCTAACCAATCAGGGCCCTGAGCACACAGGCCATGCTTTGTAAGCGGGGCCCTCACTATTATGAACACGACTGCTTCATTATTGCTTAGTTCTCTGGGTCTCACCAGGACCCAGCTCTGCAGGGACGATCAGTCCCCTCTTTTAGAGGCGGGGACAGAGGAAGGCTCAGAGAAGCCAAGCCAGGGCCCAGGCCACCATCCAAGATAAAGGAGGGCCAGCTGGGGATCCTGGCTCCCCTGGCCCTGGGCTGCTGTCAGCCCCTCTCTCCACAGCCACAGTCCCAGCTGGACCCCTGCAAGTCATCCACACATCAGGGACTAAGCAGGGCTCCCTGGCCAATCCATTTTCCATAAGGGGAAATGGAGGCCAGGACAGGGAGAGGGGCTGACGTAAGGCCACGCAGCCCAAGGACCACTTACGGGGTGAACATGTGACCCTCTGAGCCTCCAAGGCTGGGTCCCCAACTGATGCCCCCTCCCTCCTCACAACAGCCCCTCAGGGCAAGTGCTGCAGGCACTGCCCTGTCCCCAGAGGAGGAAGCTGAGGCGGGGGAGCATGGCGGGGGATGCCAGTCCGACGCTCCCATTTCATAGATGGGGGCTGAATCCCTCTTCTGCCTCCCCTACACGCCCCGTCCCTCCGCCCCCCCCCCCACTAGAATGGAAGCTCCCCGCACCACCCCACCGTCAGGCAGGGCTCTTCACCTGATTCCACTTTTCCTTCACACTCTCAGAGGAATTCCCTGTCAAACCGGGATGTTTTTCTACAAGTGATTTCAGAACATGGAAAGGACCCTGGCTTCAGAGTGGAGGAATATGCACAATGACAGTAGTAACAGCTAGTGTTTCCTTAGGACCTACTATGTGTCATTACCCCATGTACAGATAAGGAAACTGAGGCTCAGAGAGATTAAATGATGTGACTAAACTCTCACCTCTTAGCAGCTGACTGGCAAGTCCCTCCCTCTCTGAGCTTCTCCCTCAGGGAAGGACCCAAGGAAGGAAGCTATGGGGGGTGGGTCTTCTTGGTAGGGTGGGGCCACCTGGGCTCCCTCTCCAGAACTCAGTGAGTGCCGTCAGCTGCTCTGGTGCAGGCTGGAGGAAGGGGGCATGCTGATGGCCACACGCTTTCCCCTCACACCCTCCCGCCTAGGGTTCACGCACCCTTCAAACGCTCCCAGCAGGTCTGAAGTGAGCCATGACCACACTCATTTCTCATGTGAGAACATAAAGTCTCCGGGAAGCAGCCCAGCCAGGACATGGAGGCCCAAACGCCAACCCAGGTCCAAGTGATACCAAAGCGCATCCTCTCTCCACTGGACCGATAAGAAGGCCTGCATGGGAAGGGCGGTCTAGGAGGCTGGCACAGCATGTGCAAAGGCTCTGAGGCAGGAAAGTCAGATGTGCAGGGGGTTATTGAGTGAGAGGACTATGTGGGTCCCAGCTTCACTGGGCCACTGCTGGTCTTTGGCCCAGGCCTGAGAAGGTCTGAAGGAGGCCCTGAGAGGGATCTGTCCAGCCATCTAGGTCAGAAGGTCCTGAAAACCTGAGAGGCCATGAAGGTTTTCTCAGGCCCCTGAGGGTGTGGGGCAGGGCAGGGTAAGGTTACTGAGCAGAGTGACACTGGCAGACCACAGTGATCTTGAACTCTAGTGGGCTAGAGGGGGCCTAAACCACAGTGGACTTCCCAGAGGAGGGGACATCTCAGCTGAGCTCCAAAGGCTGGGCAATGTGTGAAAAGAGGGAGGGGAAGTACAATCCAGGCAGAAGGGACTGCTTGGGCAAAGGCCCAAAGGTAGTGTAAGGTCAGTGAAGTCATGCAGCCTCAGTCCCCCCAACAGCAAAATAGGGGAAAAGACCAGCACACAGCGGGTGGCTCCATGTTTCCCACTCCGGCTCCCCACCACCCCCTCCACCGGCTCCCCACCACCCCCTCCACCGAGGCCAGAGGGGGAGCTCACTGGAAGGGGCTGCCGGGTCCTCCTGCCCATCAGAGCATCCTGGGGCAGGTGAGGTCGGTGCACGTGGGGGCTTTCACCCACCCTACTCTGGCCTCTCTATCCCCGAGTCCAGGCCAAGCAGCCTTGCCAGCAGGCGGGCAGGGTGGTCACAGGCCAGGGGGTCACAGCCCTGGTGTCAGGGAGCCTTCGTGAGATATCCCCATTCATAGACCAAGGGCTGAGACTCTGTGGGGGCACCCAGCCCCGCGTCCCACAGCAAGGTGAGGCTGGATGAGGGTGTGGGCGCTGGGGCTGCAGAGAAGATTCCCGAGGCACCGGGCTCCATACAGGCAGGTCTCGGGGACCCAGCCAGTACCACCATCAAAATCACTGTGTAAATCACACCCCATCTCGGGGCTCAGCATCTGTACCCGAACAGAGACCCTGGCGTTCCCGGTCCTGACCTTCCATCCCCACCCCACCCCCACCCGACGCTACTGAGGTCACAAGTCTCCAAGGTCGTCTCTCCCCTGGGGCTCCCAGCTGCCCCATCCCCGCTGGCTGAGGGCCTTGGGGGGACAACTGCCAGCCAGCAGCCTCTGCCCACTGCCTTCAGGGGCACACAGCGCTCCCTCTCCCCCGCCAGCAGCCCTGCCTCTCTGCTCTGGGAACACGCAGTGCCCCCCCCACCCCCGCCCACACCCGTGCAGGAACTCCCTCCAGGGACATTGGTGGGCAGGAGCACCTGGTGGCCTGGCCCTGCCACGCGGTCCGCCCTGAGCTCCACCCCCTCCTCCAGTCTCAAGGCCCACACACAGGTGGCCTGCCCCGGCTGTGTGAGCTCAGGAAGTCCAGGCCTCCCTCTACTTACCCGTGACGGGGTGCCTCTGGCAGACCTCCGAGGCCGGGGGCATCTGAGGCTGGGGCCGGCCGTCAGCAAGATGCCTCAAAGCTCCTGCCTGCTGCTCCCAGGATGGAGGCCTGCCGCGTTCTCCTTCCCCCCTGCCCCCCTCCCCCCAGCTTGTAATCACCCCCTAGCCTTCAGACCTAGCACACGCCGTCACCTCCCCAAAGCTCTGCCTGCCTCCCTTGAGACTTCACAAACCCCAGTGCAAGGAGGGGGGAAGGGAAGGATGAATGGGTCCTACCCAGGGCCGCCTATGAAGAGGCACAGGCCTCGGCCCTGGGCCTGTCGAGTCGCACAGCCTATGCCCCGACCGCCGCTCTCTCCTGCCACTGCCGGGCACGTCCCTGTCGCAGAGCTTCTGACCCCCCTGACTTACACAGGCCGTGTGCAAGTCCGGGACAACTCCGGGCCCCAAGCCGCACCCGGCACGGGCCCAGGCACAGAACGGGGAGCAGGGGATGTCTGCTGAGCGAGCGAGGAGTGAGGGAAGAGTGAGCCAGGGGCCATCCACAGGCCAGAGCAGCCACAACATGTCTGGTCCCGTGTGTCCATGGCGCAAACACGCTCGGGGCGGGCGGGGCTCAAACCGGCTCCGCCAGTGTGGCCGGGGAGGGGCAGACGCCGCACACAGGCTTGTTCCGGCACCAGCAGAGAGAGGCAGGCGTGTTGCCCGCGACAGGACCTGCGGCCAGCCCGCTGAGGGCAACGCGGACCATGGAACGGAGCCCCCTGATCCAGCCCCATGGGGACAGAACTAGTCCAGCCCCTGCAGCTCTTGGGTTTCTTCCTGGGC